CAACATACGAGTAAATAACACCGGCTTATTTTGATGATTGTCATATAAATCCAGTATTTATTGTATTAATACAGCTAAATTATTTAAAAAAAAATTAAACGTACAATTTTTGTCTTTAACTCTTGTAATGTTTGATGTTTATCGATGAACTTGATTTATTCCTTCACAATGAGCCTTATGTGTCAGGCTCATATGTTAACCTTAGTGGGCGTTCGATCGATTAAACAAAAAAACATTAGTTTTAAACGTGCAGAGCAACTTTTTGTTCTGTTAAAGTATGATCACATTTGCATTAAGTGAAGCCATTCTTCTAAACCGGATAAAAGGCATTATAAAATAGACGTGTGCACGATAGCGATAATGTTATGACATTAGTGAGAGGGGCTCAACTCCGTAATGAGATAGTAGAGGCAAGTTCAAATACACGAGAAGGTCGATTTGATAGTCGCAAAATAAACTGTGCCAGATTAAAGACACTCAGTCGGCAACAATACAATATATTACAAAACGAACGTTTGTACTTTAATTATCTTTATCATACATTCACGTAATGCGAAGAGAGCGGTATAATTTTTATTAGGTTTTGGTCGAAAGAGTCCACTAAAAATTCAAGGTATTTCTCTGTAACAGTATGATATAATGGTGTCTTAGGAACTTAAACAATAAACTGATCCAAAAAACTAAATATTTACACTCTTGGTGAATAAAGTTTCATTTATTTTTTATGAAGAGAGAGGTACTGAAAAATAATATACTATATTACACTGGTTAAATATAATTCCTATATAAAAGCGAGAGCGACGAACAGTTCCAACTAAAGTTAAATGTATTTTGTGGCCTATGGACACCTACATCTATAGTATATGAAGAATTAAAATGAAGATGCGTTGTCACCGCTGAAGGCCAAGATGGAATACTTCGTTATCAGAAAAATGGTCTTTGGTTCTCCCTTCTAACACACTATGCTACGTAACACAGCAGCATTAAATTGCTATTTTTACGCTTGGTATTCTGTAATAGAATGGTCCTTTCCAAGCGAAAAATGGTTATGACCTTTGATTATGTACATCGGTTATGGACTTATGACATATCAATTTTTTATTCATTTCGTTAAGTATATAATTCAACACAAATCACAAGCACAAATCCTTTATTTGAGGTACCGCATTTGTGTCGTGGACTCAGACTATATAAGAAGTTAATATATTGAATACTTTCTTATGTAGGCGCCTTAATACTCAAAATTCATAGAGAAACAAATCGTATATATAAAACCACTACGTTAAAAAAATTGAATAGTGACTTGATTAAAAAGAATATGGAAGGGGTTCTAGACAGTCACATTGAAATATCATACTAAAGAAAGTACTGTCGTATCAAGATTTTACGATGTCAGTGTAGAAAAGAGTGGGGGTACATTAAATACTGACAACGATGTTATGGATGACACACACGATCGGTTTAACTGATCAATCCAACTGATCAGTTCAAACTAGGAATGTTGATATTTTATAAAATATCGGAATTTCGATATATCGATAATTATAAATATATCAATATCGGAGTTGAGTGTACACTTCGCCTACCGGTACGAGGCTGCCACTCAAGAACCTTTTTTCCCCATCGGTTGTCGGTTCTTCGAGCTATATGGCGGGCCCAATGCGACAGCTTACTAATCTGTTGGGCTATGTCAGTCACTCTGGTTCTACTGCGGATATCCTCATTTCTAAGTTTATCATGCGGAGAAACCCCGAGCATAGCCCTCTCCATAACTCGCTGAGCGACCTTGAGCGTCCTCATACGACCAGCAGTGAAGGACCACGTCTCAGTTCCATAGGTCATCACTGGCAATACGCACTAGGCACTGAAAGCGGTTTTGTAACTCGAGCTGAAAGGTTTCGGGATTCTGGATTAGAGCACGAGGGGGACGGAGCGTTGACTTGAGACGAGACCTCTCCAACTTAAGGTTTAGGTTCAGTGTGCCTCTAACCATTCCGTTATCGCTGCCAGTTTGCACCCTCGCAATCAATGAGACATCAGTGAACAGTTGGCGTCTGGTCGTCTAAAAGAAGTCTCATTCTGACGTCCTCTCATTTTTTGTCGAACCGTCAGGGCTCGACCAGGTCCACTTCCTGTGGGGCCGCTTCTGGAAGAAATAGTTCATCATAAAGAGTCCCTCTTTCTCCATGAAGTCGGCCAGCTACTGGCCCCTTGGGTGACGTTGTTCTACTCCAAATTTCCCTTGTTTGCGTTAGTCTCCCATCAACACCATATCGTAGGTTTTGGAGGAATGCATGGCTCTAAAGATATCCTCATACATTTCCTCCACCTCCTCATCGGAATGTACCGAGGTTGGTGCGTAAACCTGTATGACCTTCAGCGAATACCGTTTAGTGATTCTGAGTATCAGTTAAGCGACCCTCGTTGACACACTCTCAATCTAGAGACTCGTGGACGATAAATCCGACACGTCCTTGTCCTTGGGACAGATGTAACTTGTCTACCTCTTCTTCCAACTTCAGTATCTTTTCGTCAGTCCGCAGGGTGCATGCGTTATATGTTGCCAGGTCGAGTCGTCGTAGGTGGCAACCGAACCTCCATCGAAGATATATTATAAGAAAATCTACTATCCCACATCATCCCATAAGTGTCGTTAGAGGCGACAGAGAGAAATTAAAAAGAGTTGCTTACCGAGCGTGGCAACTATGGCATAATTCCTCACAACGAGGCAAGCTTTAGGAGCCGTTTATATTCAGCAGCAAATTCGGATAATAATTTTACGATAATCTAATAATCAGACAGAAATTACGTGTGAATATAAACTCAGATAGTAATATCGGATTTAGGTATATTTTTATACACTATAAAATTCATTTTATTATGTTGATATGACATAACAATGAAGCGTTTAACTAAAAACTAAAGAGAAATTAATAAGAGTTGCTTACCAAGCGTGGCAACTATGGCATAATTCCTCACAACGAGGCAAGTTTTAGGAGCGGTTTATGTTCAAGCAAATTCGGATAATAATTTTACTATAATCTAATAATCAGAGAGAGGTTACGTGTACGAACATAAACTCAGATAGTAATATCGGATTTAGGTATATTTTTATACACTATAGAAATGCATTTTATAATGTTGATATCATCATCATCATCATCATCACAGCCCTTCACAAGTCCACTGCTGAACATAGGCCTCCCCCAAGTAATGCCACAAAGCACGGTCCTGAGCCACCTGCATCCATCGACTTCCTGCATATCTTACCAGGTCGTCACTCCATCTAGTGGGGGGTCGCCCTACACTACGCCTACCGGTACGAGGCTGCCACTCGAGAACCTTTCTTCCCCATCGGTTATCGGTTCTTCGAGCTATATGGCCGGCCCATTGCCACTTCAGCTTACTAATCCGTTGGGCTATGTCGGTCACTCTGGTTTTACTGCGGATATCCTCATTTCTGAGTCTATCACGCAGAGAAACTCCGAGCATAGCCCTCTCCATAGCTCGCTGAGCGACCTTGAGCGTCCTCATACGGCCAGCAGTGAAGGACCACGTCTCTGATCCGTAAGTCATCACTGGCAACACGCACTGGTTGTACACTTTAGTTTTCAGAATGTTGATATGACATAACAATAAAGCGTTTCACTTAAAACTAAATTAAAACATAATATTGGGCCAGAAAATGTTAAGTAAAACCTAATTTTAGGTGTGTTGTATTTATAGTCCTTTATTTAAATGTATAAAATAGAATATAAATTGAAGAAGAAAACCTGTTTTGTCTTGGTTAATGTTTTAAATTCTATATATTACGTAAATTGAATCTAATGCTTCGCTTGTTCTAAGCAACAAGACTTGGTTTTTCCGTTTTTCCTGCTTGTATGCCACATCAAAGGAATATATTTATTGATGTATGTAGCCTTTATTGCGTTTCCTGTTACAATATAATACAAACAACGAAATTAGTTCCTTTAGGAATATTAGATTGATCAGATGTCTCAATGTTCGCTAATAAAAAATTGTAAGACAAATACAAAAAATCAAAAAAATTATTATCATGAAATATATATTTTGACGGGTCAATATATCACATACAAAATTTCATATTAGAATAAATCAGAAGGGCACAGGCCCTGAATCTGATTTTACATATCATTTTATTTCTATAATACTCTGACGTTTTGCGTATCTGTGAATATGATACTATGTATTTTATACTCTACTTAAGCATTTTGCAGAAGTGGTAGATCAAGGGCGGTGTGCTCGTCGTTTAATTTTAAAGTAGTCAACCAGAGTTGAATACCCGCCGGAAATTTCACCTCGTACTTGGCAGTGAATAAAAACGTCGTAAGGATATATACGTGTCTGAGAAATTTAAAATATTTCAATTCATGTGAATGTTCGCTGCTGCTATTGTGGCGAATACACGAATAGGTCAGCTCGGTCAAAGAAGAACCGAGCTCATTGTAAAATAGCAGCTTAAAGCTGCCTTGTTTCGTATGGTGAGTGGTATTGAGGCATTACATCTTAGTTCTTAGGGATGACAACGCATCTGTGATTTAATTCTTAATCGAAGATAGATTATATAGATTAGATACATACATATGGATCACTGTATCTACTGACTAACTTTAGGCACTAAATACAATTATAAAAGTAATGCTAACTCGTTCTATCGCCAACGTGCATCAGAGCACTACGGTAGCGGACTCGCATTTTTCAAAACCAGGGAAACCAATGTTGGTAGAATAAAACTTTGTTTTACAACTGTTTCATATCCCCAAGACATGGAAAACTTGTCTGGAAACTTTATCGCGGAAGTAAGGCATTCAATTTAAGTCCGGGATAAAATTTTGTTGCATGTTTTCTTCAAGGTACACGGCAACAAAAAAAAACATCTTTACTTACGTAAAATAATCTAAGCTCTATTCAATCCTTATTATTAGCTTAGAATCAATAACAGCGAAAATAAGTAATTTGAGCGGAAATTGTATCCTTACCTAAGGTCCAGCCTCAGTTCGCGGCCATCGACGGTGAGGTTGTAATGCAGCGAGGGCGGCAGGCGGTGTTCCAGTTGGTGAAGGTCACGGCGTGCCCGCGCGTGTCCATGCTCGTGTGCGTGTTCCACTGTGCGTGACACGAGTTCGCCATCTCGTGTCACTTTGACTGGGACTGTCACTTGCACTTGCGACGTATCCAGGTGCTTGTGTGAATATATGCCTGATGAAAGATATCTATGGTTATTAGTGGTCAGATTGCATTCTAAATTACATACGGAAGGATGCACGAAACGTAAGGTGCTTTAGGTGTGATATAGCAACGTAATCATCCCGTGCTAGATGTTATTTACACATCCTCGACGACAGGAAGCATTACGTCAAAGATGCAGTTTATTTGGTACCGTCGACAATCCACCTGTTGAGCGTGGCAATAATGGTAATCCTCCGTTTTATGGCGGAGACCCATGTTCAGCAGTGAAATTTTTACAGAGTAATAAAGAAGAAGGAATCATCCGTTTTATAGCGGAGACCCATGTTCAGCAGTGAAATTTTTACAGAGTAATAAAGAAGAAGGTATCATCCGTTTTATGGCGGAGACGCATGTTCAGCAGTGAAATTTTTACAGAGTAATAAAGAAGAAGGAATCCTCCATTTTATGGCGGAGACCCATGTTCAGCAGTGAAATGTTTACAGAGTAATAAAGAAGAAGGAATCATCCGTTTTATGGCGGAGACCCATGTTCAGCAGTGAAATTTTTACAGAGTAATAAAGAAGAAGGAATCCTCCGTTTTATGGCGGAGACCCATGTTCAGCAGTGAAATTTTTACAGAGTGATAAAGAAGAAGGAATCCTCCGTTTTATGGCGGAGACCCATGTTCAGCAGTGAAATTTTTACAGAGTAATAAAGAAGAAGGAATCCTCCGTTTTATGGCGGAGACTCATGTTTAGCAGTGAAATTTTTACAGAGTAATGAAGAAGAAGGAATCCTCCGTTTTATGGCGGAGACCCATGTTCAGTAGTGAAATTTTCACAGAGTAATAAAGAAGAAGGAATCCTCCGTTTTATGGCGGAGACCCGTGTTCAGCAGTGAAATTTTTACAGAGTAATAAAGAAGAAGGAATCCTCCGTTTTGTGGCGGAGACCCATGTTCAGCAGTGAAATTTTCACAGAGTAATAAAGAAGAAGGAATCCTCCGTTTTATGGCGGAGACCCATGTTCAGCAGTGAAATTTTTACAGAGTAATAAAGAAGAAGGAATCCTCCGTTTTATGGCGGAGACCCATGTTTATCAGTAAAAAATTTACAGAGTAATAAAGAAGAAGGAATTACCGCCCTCCATTACAAGGCACGAGATCTTTCTGTTCCATCTCGTAGCTCAATGGCATGATGGATCCTTTTAAGCCACTACCTCACAACATAAATTCTAAATGTTGGCTGAACGAACATTGGCCACACAATATAATTTCGTTGTTTAAATATTATCCCCACGCTTCGAATTTCTCCTGTGTGGAAGTGGCATTTTAATTACTTAGATTGTATGTGAATGATAATGTATGTATGTGAAAAACTTATCTTGGTCGCTGTGATACTGGTTTTGTTGGATCTGCATAGCCGTTCGCAGAAATAAAAAAATGCGCGCCTAAATCTAACGAGCGAGCGGCACGCAGAAATGAGACTTGCCCAAAGTTGCTTCTAGGTGGTGAGGTCGGTTTGGCATTTTCACATTTTCCACTACGCGGAAAGTCGTGGAAATTACTATGATAACGATAACATCAATTTAATATCTCATAATATATACATATTAAGTATTTTGAACATTTTTACAAAGAAAACATAAAACAAAATAAAATTAAATTCAATAACACACTTCAATTTCATTTAATAATAATCAAACAATTGGAATGATTACAAAGATAGATTTTGAAATATCTTATGATCTTTAGTCGTTATCGATAGGCATCGAGTTACCAGTATGGTCCGATGCATTGCATAATAGACGACCACGCGCCAAATATATAATAAAATAGTTGTTTTACAAACATCAGCGTTTACTTTAGCCAGGTCAATGATGTCTTTGATAATATCCGTCATTCTAGGAAAGTGACGTCATGGAAATTCAAAAATAATCGTTTTAATGCTATAAATGAAAGCTTAAATCTTAAGAAGTATTAAAACACTCTTGTCTTAAATGATCATCCATTCATCCATTAGAGCCCATAAAAGTCCACTGCTGAACATAGGCATCCCCGATAGATTGCCTCAATATTTAGGAATTCCTAATAACAACTTAAAAATTATATTATTTATTATTTTTTATATTTTAAAATATAAAAAAATATGCCATAGTTGCCATGCGTGTCAGCTATGGAATATCTATTCAGCAGTGGACTTCAATAGGCTGTAACGGTGACGCTCACGATTATTAGGAAGCCGCTGCTCATCTCCTGATTTTTTTTCCTCTGTCGCCTCTTACGACACCCACGGGACGATATGGGTAGAGGATATTATTACACGGCTACTGCGGTCTTTAATCATACTGTTTTTAAAAAAGACTTATCTGACTCGGTTTTGCTAGTGGATTTTCCATTTCCATTTTCCATTAAAAGTTACTCCAAATAACCGATCAACGCTAAAATTTGGCAAATCTCACGTTTATTGAATATAATACTTCCCCGATGAAGTAATCTTATACCACCTATTTGAACTATAAGAAGCCAGCTGGTAGCGGGCAGCCAGATGATAAATGGTCTAGTTACCCGCCAAAACGATAATAACTTAAATGAAACCATTGCCATTTGCCATTTGCCACATCATTATAGCCGGAATAGATATCAAGGGGTTACTGAATGCATATGTTACCGCCAATCTGTAAAGTAAAGTAAAGTAAAGTTACAGCCTACATACGTCCCACTGCTGGGCACAGGCCTCCCCTCATTTCTGAGGGGGTTTTAGGGCAAGGAAGTGTCCGCCGCGCTGCCCCAATGCTTGTTGGCGAACTTCACATGTCTTCGAAATATTTTTTTTCTTATTCCTCAGACATGCAGGTTTCCCCACGATGTTTTCCTTCAACGCCGAGCACGTGGTAAATCAGCACTTAAAATTGCAATTAACAATTTCATTGGTGCCGGCGGGGCTCGAACCCGGGTTACTCGCGTTCTGTTATATTTACAGCGAGTGTTAACCATCTGAGCTACCACGGCTCTATATATAATACGGTATAATATAATACGCCAATCTGTATAATACGGTATTATAAAGAATACAAAGGTAAAATAATATAATACCTAAAACATTCAGCCAATGTTTAAAATATCATTTATTTCATACAAGTACTTTACTTAGGCATTCTATACAACACCGAATGTTTACCCGGCAATGTATTGAATAAGAGGTAATGGAGTAGCGAGAGTGCACGTTTCTTAATCTGGCTGGATGTCTGGTTGCTACCATCTGCTTGGAATCCTATAATTAATAATATTAAATCCCAACCTTAGCACACAAATGCAAGACTTCAAGATACTATAAGTTAGCACTGCGTAGATCGGAACAAAAATTAATAATTTTAATCTGGGAGTAGCCGTGGTTAACTATGACATTGGGACGTCGATACCTCAGTCCCCCCCCCCCCCGTGACCATGGGTGCTGTAAAGTGCTCGAAACGTCGGAAATATAAAATAAGTTAATATACGCGACATGATCCGTAAAAACTAGTTTTATTTAAATATGTAGTGTTCGTATAAACATAAGAAATCATTAAATTATGGTTCTTTAATTTAAGACAATAACGAGTTTCTGCTTTTGCCTACGCGTTAATAGTTTTTTATCTTAAAAGTAAGTAATTACATTGTTTTTAAAAGTCATTTTCTTATATATTGTCTCGTAACAATTTTATACACTTAGTTCACGTATAAAACAGAGTAGCCAGAAGTCACTGAAAATGAAATGTAAAATGTGAGTTATCTCTGTAAATCATGTAAAAAATACAAATTTTCATATTCAGCAAAGTTCAATGTGTGAAAACTACGTTTTATGTTATAGTTTTGATATATACTTAGTGAATATTAGGGTGAAGTTGTTTTTAACAAAAATGGCGTTGGTCAAAGATGGCGTAATAGAGTATATACCTATGATTTAATATTTTTTGTTTTTTAGAGGCTCCTACTGAGTATATCGATATAATTATATTTTCTTTTCATTATAAAATTTCGAATGTTTCTATATAGTTGTTTATTTCTTCATAGTAGTTATTATATTTTGAATTTTACAGATATTGGATTCTAACATATTCATAAGATTTGCCTTAGTTGTAGTAGTGACATAATATTTGAATTTCTTTCTTTTCGTTTAACCTTTGTGGTTTCGTTATTTATTACTGTTTTAACAATTGAACTTGTTTATAGAACTAATGTTTAATAAATTGTTTGATGCTGATATTTGATGACTTTTTTTACACACGAAAATATTTTATCAAATAATAAAATTCCTCCCCTCTCCAACTACTCCTGTCACTGATTTAACGAACCAAAAGGAACTACGCGTATCTTCTTACTGTGTAACAATGTACGCGTAGGTACTACGTGTACTACGCGTGGAACTGAAACGGTATACCGACTAATACCTATAACCTAGCCGTTAGGTGAAATTCGTATATTTCAAAAATAATAATTAGAATGGTTCTTATAACATAGCCACGTTCGTAGCTTAGGTAAGGAAGGTAATAAAAAATTGAATACTGAAATAAAACCTAATACAAAATCTAAAAGGCATATATTATACATGGTAGAGCCATGCTGCAGTTATATTAGTAGTATAGTTGTAGCACGAATGGGTCGGCTCGACCGGGGAAGGACCACAAAATACTACATAAAAATGAGTGTTTTACTGAGAATGAGGCATTCCATTTTAGTCCTCACGAGTGACAACGCATCTGCATGTTGATTTGAAATCGAGGATGCATAAAGGTGTCTATGGGCCATAGCAACCACTTATCATTAGGTGAACTGTTTGCTCGTTTGTCATCCTATCCAATAAAAAAATTTAAAGTCACGTTCTAATGTTCTAAGTAAATATCTAACGTTATCAACGTGAAAAGTCACAATGATTTTCACTGTGACTTTTTGGTAACCTTAACGACGGTTACGGTTATTTAAAAATAAAACTTTTCCCCAAGTTTAGTCGCGTCTTACGACACTGAAGGGATGATATAGATATTCATACACCG